ATAATGTAGATATATTATTATTATTTTTTCAGAATAATTTTCTTGGTAAAAGTGATTAGTGTAAATATTGCTCACGCGAAAAATTAAAGTTCATCTGAATTGACATCCAAAGTATTTCTTGATGATAAAATTTTTTCACAGAGTTATGTAATTTTAACTTAAACTTTTGAATATATTCATATCTTATATAAAATAATGGAAAATGTTCAATCTGCAATTGATTTGTTAAGAGAATTGAATACCAAGTTCATTTTTCAAATTGATAAACTCAGAAAAGAGAATGTTGATATCAAGGCTGAAAATATAAAATTAAAACAAGATAAAGCAGAAGTCAAAGTTAAATTTGTAAAATTAAAGTAGAATGATAAAGATACTACTTCTGAAAATGCTGAATTTAAAGTTAAAATTATGAAATTGAAATAGAAGCCATTACAAAATGATGAAGAAAAAAATAACCATATTATTAAATTGAATGATGATACTATAGAAATTAACCAATCTTTAGTCTGCGAAACAGAATATTTTGTATCTAATATTACCTTTACTGAAATAATAAATTTTAGTCACTCTGTAACTACCTTTGACAATGATGTTCCTGTATCTAATATATCTAATAATACTTCAAATTCTAATAAATCCAATAATACTTTAACTATACTTACACACAAAATTATTTTGGAGTCCCGAAATTACAATTTTGAGAAAAAAAGTTAAAATAGTTTTTCATAGAAGATGAAATTATTTTACTTAAAACCTAAAATTTTTTGACCATTCAGATTTATTCTTTGATTAAAGATACATATAACTGGATACTTTTTTATTTCTATATATAGAATAGATTCTATATAAATCTCAAAAAGTTGAAATACCTCAAAAATCCAAAATTAATTTAAAAATATATATAGTTTCGATAAGAGAGTAAAATTCTGATGATACTCTTAAACAGATAGAAAATATATCTGATAATATATCTAATTCTAATATCTAAAAATCAGATATCTAATGTTTTTTTTTTTTTTATTGTTCCAGTGAAGTCTTGCCTCAAATTTATTAATTAAGAAAAGAGAAAGTCTCTTACATTATTACTAACGAAGATATATAACTTATCCTAATTTTATTAAAAAGATGAGACTCAAACTAACTCAAAAGAGATGTGCCTGCAACCTATTGCCTAACAAGTAAACTTGTCCTCAGTATGTTAAGGCCTTGCCAAATAACCTATTTTATAAACATTTGTCTAACAATTACTATTGTGAACTAATCCTATCATATGTTCTTTAATTATATAATTATAAATGTTTAATTTATGTATTTTCTCATCTATTTTACTATTATTTAAACTATTATTATCAGTGTTATTATTGTTATCAATATTTTCACTATTTATAGTGTTAATATTATTTGTATCATTCGTTACCTCCTTCCTATTTACTAAGCTTTTTTTTACTTTACGAGTTTTAATACCATTATTTCTTTTCCATTCCTTAAACATAACACATCTATATTTCTATATCTCTTTTTGTACAAATGATTTGAAACGTTTAAATGTGACATATATAACTTGGTTTAGTTCTTCCTTACGTTTAATCATTGTTTGTAATAAGGTTATTAATGATTGCAGTATTAGTCCCATAATTATATCCAAAAATAAAATTTCATCTTTATTTTTATACATTCCTTCTTCACCTAATTTTATTACTTTCAAATTATTTAGATTACTCTCCAAGGAGTCATTGATAATGTAGAAACTGTTATTACAGAGTTGTTCTATCAAAATTGTGATAAATCAGTTTTTACACAATTCTAGTATTACTGAATTATTTTTACATATAAAAACATGTGCCTGATCCTCTATTAAGAGGTCACAGCGAAAACATTTATCTGTCTTATATATTAATGGATATCTGGTCTTAAGTTTTTGTAGAGTTGGAAGCTCATTGTTAAATATCTTCATGTTAAATAATCACATTCTGTTATCCTTAGTATTAGTTTGTTGTTTCTCTTCATATAATCTTGTAGTTGTGTTTCAAGACAATTTCCAATTAATTAGTTCCAGTTTTGTATTACTCAAATTATCAACATTTTAGTTCAATAATCTCCACTTACAAGATTGTTTAGTTGCACTATATTTCTTGGCGAATTTACATATAGGTTCTTCTATTATGAAGGAGTTCCAATATGGTGTTGCATTGATCAAAGTAAGGATGTCTATGTTTAGTTTACAAACTACTCCCCTCTGTTCTTCCTTAGCCAGCCTATCTGCTTCATCATTCAATTCAATACCCGAGTGTACTTTTATTTTAATATATTTGATTCTAATTTTTTGCATTATTATCAATTTATGAATTATTATTAGTAATGTCTAATTATTTAGTTTCTTCCTTACTTTGTTTACATCTTTTGTTATCAATTGTAAAGCATCAATTGAGACTTGGCTGTCTGTGTATATTGTTAAAGCTGATTCTTTTGGACATGCATAAACTACAATAAGTATAACTATCAGCTCTGTTCTTGTTGATAATGGATATTTTATTACTTTTCCGTAAAACTTATATTTTTCCTCCCTTTCTCCCAATATTACCCATCCACAACTCATTAATGGTTTTGCTTTCATTTTGTTGATATTATTAGCTGTCTGTTTGTTCAACAACCCATCTGTATAGACAATTAAATTTTTACATTAATTGAGTGACGTGTGAATATTATTTAATTTTTCTTTAATTTCAACACTTTTCCACAAGTTATTATACTTTTCGTGAATAGTATCCCAGTTATTTGGTAGTTTATCAATTGTGGTATTAGGAAACTCACTTTCCCTTTGATTGTTTCCAGATATCTAATGTTCTATATCTTCTATTTCTGCAAAAACTATATCATTATAAGATAAGGAAATCATTGAATTTCTGAATTTAAAAGAAAAAGAAAGAATTAATAATTTGATAAGAGAGAGGAATCAGAAAAAAAAGTAGAAAGATCAAAACTTATTTTTAAATATTTCTTTATCAAAAGATAATACTTAAAATATTGATTCTTTCAATTTCGATATTCAAAAATACTGAACTCAGAAAGTTCAAAATTTCAGCTACAGTGTTCTAATTAAAAAATAGTCATAGAAAAAAAAGCGTAGAAAATATTTCTCAAATGATATATAAATTACAGTTTCAGAAACTTATTTTCAATCCTCCTAATGATATTTCATTACTATGATATCAAATTTTTTCTATAGTGTCATTACTTACTTTAGCATAATTATTTAATAAAGTAACTGATGCTGAATATGGTGCAATTCATGTAAATCAAGAAGAAATTTTATGCTGATGCTACTATAGGAAGAAATTTATAACTCAAGTTAATGAAATCATAAAAAATGGTAAAGATAAAGTTGATAAGAAAAAAGCAAAAGGAATTATCTATGATAAAATATTAGAAGATTTTCTATTCTCTATAAAAAAAGATCTGAAAATATAAGTTTAAAACTTTCAGAAATCTCATGTAAATATTTACAAAGAAAAATTCAGAAAGTTGTAAAAATATATAAATTATTTGAAAAAATAGGTGTAGATAAAATTAAGTATATTAAAATATATAATATATATTCTATTTCAAAATTAACTAATGATAAATTCAAATAATTATAAATCATTTTTTCAAAAATATTGATGTTGATTTATCTGATAATTATATTGTTAATTTCTTAGATGATTTAACAGAAACATTTTTTTTTCTATCCCATTATTTCACATCTCTAATTCGGAAGGTAAAATAAGTAAGGAAGTTAAATCTTTACTGAAAACTGAAACTGAGATAAGTATATCTACTAAGTTTTAAATTTTTGATTTATCTAGCTCTGAACTATCTCAAGATTTAGAATTATCAAAGACCTCGATAAGTACTAAAATAGATGTATTAACCAAGTCAACCAAACCTATAATTTGCAATCTAGTATATTTAGACTTTTCTGATTATTCAGAACAAGAGATTAGTACAGATTTTAAGTATATTATTTATAATACCAAATTAAGCAAAAAGGTAATTATTAAATCTGTAATAGATCAATTTCTATATTTGTCCTTTAAAAATAGTTTTTGAGGATTTGATAATTATAAATTTATTAAAGAAAAATCATGTTTAATTTGTAATAAAAAGCATTTGAAAAGTACACTATGTAATAAATGGTATAAAAATAGGTATTATCTAAGCTGTAATTATTCAAATGGTAACAAACTCAAATTTGCATTAATAGAAGTATAGAATTCACATTTTTCAGCATATAATTTCACAAATATTTTTGTATTCAATTGTTAGCTTCACTAATATATAATTGTTATAAAAATAAAATCCAGTATTATGAACAAAATTATATCTTTATGTACTATTGATATATAGATAAATTTTATTTAACTGACAAAGTAAAAAATAAATAGGAATGTAGGGCAAGAAAAAATAACAATTTACATTTCACAAATCCAATATGGGAAAAAAAAATTGATATTATATTTATTGCATTTAGAATTTATTACAGAGAAAACTGAGTTCACAACATCACATGGCTACCACAGTAAATCTTATTCTGGAAATGATCAACTACAATATATTAATATATATATATTTTTTGCATTATTATTCAGACGTGACATGCATGTCACTGGCGCAGTAGCGATCAAACTTTACCATCTCTTTCAAGATTTCAACAATTACTTAATTTATATTATAGCGGCGAAAAAAATAATTTTTGATTATTTGAATCACACACATGACCTTCGAATTTATTCCTTAGTACATGTTGATCAAACGTCTGTAACGCAAGCGATTTTTTCAGGTAATCTAATTCAAAAAAAATGACGTACCTTATCAATATGGCGAAATTAATTAAACTCCTGTAAATGATTACGACAGTCAGTTCAATGGCGAAATAATTACGACAGTCAGGTCAATGGCGTGATCGACATAATTGGTTATATAAATACAATGAATCAAGATTTTTGATTCGTAATAAAATAATGGATAAGTTTAAATCATCTTTTCTCTCTTTTCATAAGGGTAAAAATCTATTTTTCAAATAATAAATACTTAAAAAACATTCTAATTATTTCTAATATCCCATTATAGAAATTGAACCATTTCTGACCATCGAAGAAACGGTCAAAACACTCTTTCCGGATGCATCAAGTGCTAATATTAAAAAGTATACAAAACAGATTTCAAAAGTTGACGAATTAGATCCAGTGTTGATTATAAAGCCAAACCAAGCATGGGTCACAAATAATGGATGGGTCGCTTATAATCAAGCAATGGATCGTTTCGCTACTTTCAATCTTAGTAGTCAACGCAGAGATGAAGACAGCCGTTGTATCTTTCACTTCAGAGATATCCAAGAACTGTATTCCGTTCGGGACGGTCTTCGTAATAGTAATCTTATTCCCAACGGCTTTCATGTTCCTCATACTTTACGAGCCGTTGTACCCGCAACTATTAATAACCCGGAACCAATTGGATGTGCATACATTTTGATTAAGTTAACAGTCAAAAAATCTGAATTTTCGGAAGATACGAGTTTTTTTAATGTCGCTTAATCAGCAGTTGACATTGATCACGTCTTGCGTAAAATGAAGGGGCAAAGGAACATGCTTTATAAGGATATACTTTTTTATAATTTTTATATCAAATTAGTGAATTAATTTTTAGTAACAAGGAAAACGTTATTTTTAGCTTTGCAAAATAGTTGAATTGAAATTTTAATAAATTCACAAATCACACATTGCTTTATATGACCTAAATAATACCCTATTTTTTTTTGTATGAATGCATTACTCTTGCCATCCGAATGTGATAGAATCGTTTGTAATAGGAAGTTCCCTCTCGCCGGGAATGGTTGTAATCTCTTGATTTCGCAGATAATTTAATGAAAGTGCTTCGGGTTGGAAAACCACAGTAATGTCTGCTTGAGTCTCTGAAGGCTTACCAGCCATATTGGAGATATAGAGAGTTCCATCCCCTCACTTATATATTTCTGTAAATTGAGGCTAAAGCGAAAAAAAAGCATTAAACCGAAATTTAATTAATCATCGGAACGAGAACTTCGAAATTAGTGTAATTGACGCACCTATCTTGTTAAGGGCCCACAGTTATCGTTGCAAAACAAGGACTCTATTGTCAATCCAATAATTTCGTCCCTGAATCACCCTGCATTATTAGTGTGCACGATCTTAAACGATCAAAATATTAGTGCAATTGGTCCATGCTAGTCTGTTACCCATATGCGAAAAAGTTATTTTTTGCACGAGATTTTCAATCTTCTCACAGCATTATAATCTTTCTTGAGGATTAAATTCGAGTCTCTTTTGCAGTCATTTTCTTCAAGTTAATTTAGCCTTTTATATAATTCCCTTTCTATTTCCTGATTCCATGTAACATTAATTCTGGAGAAATTCTTTAGTTCCTCTAATGGATGATTTTTTATGATTTCAATAGTATCCGAAATGGTGCAAAGATAGGTAAATTAGTTCATTCTTAGTGAGACTCGAGATCGGCGAAAAACGAAATTAATTGCGGAGCTAGTGTCTTTGACACATAATTTGTAATACCATACAATATAACCGATAATAAAATTTTTTTCTGCGTATATAAAATGGTTAGAAGATTAAGATCAGATGTAACCCGCTTATCTCCCGAAGCGATTAGTGATATTATTATTGTCAAGGGTACAACAAATGCATTACCGATTCTAGCTAAAAAATATAATGTATCATATGCACGGCAAATAATTAGTAAAGCTAACAATGCTAATAAAATTTTAACAGTGCTAAATAAACGTACACCGGCCTGCCAAAAGTATCCGGACAGCTGTTTTTTTTCAAATTTTTTAAAAATTTCAAGGATGAATTTTGGCACAACGAATAATTTAAATTGCACAAACTTTTTTTTAAAAGAATCCCCAGATCAAGGGCTATCGTATGATATCTTATTTATTCAAATGCGATGCCTGCTCATTTTAAAATATTGTCTTAAATAAAATTAACCAAAAATATTAAATTAAATTATTAATCGTAATCTCTTTC